ATTGAGAATAATAATTTTAATTTAATTAATTTTAAAAATCTTTTTAAAATAATTATTAAATCGCAAACAAAAATGTAATGATATCTTTACATTTGTTTTACAACAAAAAATGTGCATAATTCTCGTGTATAATTATGCAAAATTATGTATAATTTTCAGTGTAATGTAAAATTAATATTTATTAAAAATGGCAGAAGTTAATTCGCGTAAACTTTCAAAATAAACCATCCGTGCTGTAAATGAACAAAATCGATTGCAAGAATCATTAAGTTAGCCAGCTTTCATACCATTCATCTCAGAAATAATTTCAGTATTTCCCAACACACCAAATGGATCTGTTAAGCAAACGAATTAATTACCATTTCCTTGTTCGTTGCAAAACTTCCGGCCTTCTTGTGTTGCTCTACTTAAAAACGAGGTAGAACTCTTTAATTACAAGCTGCTCGAACAACATAGGATCAAACGTTCAACAAGCTTCTCGGAGACCGTATTTTCTATTTTTCTTTCTTTTTTTACAAGCAGAAAATCTCGAAGCCAACTTTATCTTGTTACGTTTCATAACGAAAGTGACATTTCTCCGGACAAGGAAGAGTATGTGTAAATCGGTCTCGTGGCCTTCACGCATCATGCGCCGGTTCGCGTTACTCTCGGCAATTGCAATTATGCACACGCTTGCACTCTAGCGCACTGCAACTTTCGTTTTTACGCTGACCACAAGTGCATAATTCGCCAATGTCTCTTGGAGTTCATCGATCTGAAGGAAGGCCATGGAAATAACATGGTTGAGAATTTTACTTGGAAATTGCTCCTTTTATTATACACGTCTTGTCACTCTGACGTCTTTAACCCTTTCGCTGCGGTAGGTTTTATGTAGTATGCAACGCGCGTGGCAGACGGTAGATTTCGAATCGCGGCCGTAACATCGTTCGTTTCGGCGTGTAAAAATTTAAAAAAAAAATTTAAAAACTGAAATTAAATTAAAATTTGTAAATTTATCGTTTTGTTGAATTAAGGTGGAAGCGCGCGGAGGGCGAAAATTAAGGATTAAATTAAGGTGAAAGTGTGACAAAAAACTGTGGATCAAGCGGCGGAAGGGATATAATAATGTTACCACACACATATAATATTAATGTAAATGCTGTTTATTAAAGAAAAATATGTATATCGCAATACGCATTGTCTTTTTGGACACACTCGTAGTTACGCGAAAAGGAACACGAACCCTTTACTCCACTGGAGAGGGAACATCGATATTGATCAATATTCTATGTCGTCTTCTAAAATCGGCAAATATACAGTGTGGGAAAATTTTGAAAATGCCAAGTGCACAGTGCGTGGACATATTCAGAATGTCTATAGACGCGAAGCGCAGAGTGCAAGAAAATTTCCAAAAAACCTATAGGCGCAGTGAAAGGGTTAATATAACTAACCATCTTCAGGCTAATGATTCCATTTGTTATCATGTACCATTTTTGCATTTGTATATCGTATTTCTGTCCATAGATGTTATTTGATATCATTTTTTAGTAAAATAACACTTTTACAAGTGGCCACACTGTTACATTTCGTGTATTTAACTATTAACAAAGAATAGGAAAAAATTTTCTTTCCCCCCTTTTGAAGAATTTAATTAAATTGACCTGGAAAGGGTTAAATGACTTTCTTTTCATAAATCAATATTCAAAACGTTGGCAGTCAATTCGCATTACTTATTCATCCGCACACTTGACGATCGGTATCTTGTACATTGATCTATTCTTAAATACTTTTCTGCTTGTATTCTTTTCGAATAGAATGAGAATTTATTGCCACATGAATTGTGTTAGAATGTGCTTCATTTTTTTCTCATAAATTACTATATTCTGAATAAATACGAACAGAGTACTACATGTAACAATAGATAAATAATTGCTCCAAGAGACTGCATTAGGGTATCAGTTTAAACAAAACGTTTATCTTGAATTATTCAAACAGATCTACTTTGAAATCGTAGAGAACCGAGAATCAGGTGAGATTTGGTTTCATTCTAGACAGAGCGAGATCCGGAAATCGACGAAGGCAGCGTGACTTGATACGTGAAACGTGATTGTATTATGTCTATCTCTTATTTTTCATATCCCATTCGAATCCTTCCATTCTCTTCCGGTAAGAATGTGTAAGAAAGAGAAAAACTTCGATATACTTTAATAAGCTCTCGATATATTGTTCTCGAACGTGGAAAATATTCCTTTTTGAAATTCTCCGCAAACGATGTTGAACCGATGCTTTGCATGTCTACAACTTCCTTAATTATATATTCACTTCCTTTCAAAGTTTTTTGTCGTGATATTTTATTTACTTTTCACTGAATTGTTTTTCACATTGTACGTTTATTCAATTATTTTTGTGTTTTGTATTGAAACCGATAAATCGTTAATTTCCATTGGAGATAAATAGTAACGGTAGTTTTATTATAAAGATCGAGTATTTTTATGAATATGAAGTATAAAGGTTGAAATGATGAATGGGACAAACTTAAGTTATATTATTATAGAAGGTGAGATTTATTTACGTATATAAAGACAAATATCTGCTGTCACCTTACGTAAGATTTTATGGCGACTATTTAGTTCTTGTGAGCATCCACTTTCTTGCTGCAGCGATAGGTATCGATTGTTTAGTGTGAACGATTTGATAAAAAGGGTATAATAGTGATTAAGAGACTCTTATCTATGAGAATTAAATTTATGAATAATTTCAAGCTTTTTACTGCAATACTATACTCTATTGAATATTTATTAATTAAGAAAAATCTAAATAATTCTTGTTAATTTAATAAAAATAAAATATTTTTCATTTATTTCTCAAACTGTACACTCTAATGTCCTGTAATATTTTTGTATACAATGACTTCAATTATTTACTAAGTTAGTCCATTTAATTCATTTCTCCAAATATGGATAAAAATTGTTTATTAAGATATTCGAAATTCGACAAATAAAATTACCATTCAATTCTGTTTGCTCTTCTTATCAAATTCTGTATTGTTTTACAAAGTTGTTATTTCACATAATTGTATCGAAATTACACGATAGTGCGTATGTTTACATTGAATAAGTTACATAAACAGGGGTCTGCGAACGATTTTGGTATTTGTGTTATTTATAGTGATTATCTAACAATAAGTTCAGTGTGCACAGATGCATTAATTGATACACGTGCTCGTTGCACAGTAACCTTTTAATGTTTTCTGCTGCTTGGGAAATCTGTCTTTCAATTGCATTCATTCTCGATGCCTTCAACATTTTCCGACGATGCAATCGAGTAGGTACTTTTTTACGACCAACGGGAATTCACAGCGTATGCACTTGCGTCCACTTGAACTTCCTAACATTTTTATTGCTCTTTCAAATGCACGTTGGATAAGAATGCAACAGCTCGCCGAAAAAATAAAGTACAAAGGAAAATTTACGAATGAAGTGTAGAAATGAAAATAGGTACACTACTTGTTCTGTTTTTATTAAATAAAATTTTTTTCGTACGCGACGGATTTTCTCCGGTGAACAAATTTTTTTCTACACTTATTCTTTGTTTTTTTTTTCATAAGAAATTGCATATTTTCGTATTATACATTGTAATAAGTGTCCAAGAATCTGTTGATAATGATGACGAATAACTCTAGATTCTTTAAAACCAACTCACATTTCTTGACACGATACCTACATATATTGTGTTCTCAGTTCTTTTTCCTTGAAAAGTTATTTCCACATACGTAAGTGTTAACATTTTCTTCAAACACCCTGTACAATCGAAACTACAAGATATATAATAGCCAGATAGCACACGACTTCTTAGAGATGCCCATTTTATGTCCATTTTTGGCGTGAACGTCTTACAACCTGATCTGTACTCTACAAGGGGAAGTCAAAAAGTTCGCGGAATAAAGGAGAAGGGAAGTAGAAAAAGCTATGATATAATCTTCCTTTTTCGACGTATTCCCCCTTGACTTCAATACATTTCTCAGACCTCTGAATTAACTTATATTTATTCCTACAAAAATATATTTTTTCTTTCGTCTCAAAATGAGTTACCCCCACCCCTCTTCTTGCTTAGCAAACTTTTTGATCGACTCTTGTATTAATCAGTATGTTCTAACGACGTGTAAAAATTACGCCATTTAAACCTTTCAAAGATATCTTGATTTGTAATATTATACGTCGTTCAGATGTCTTTAAGACGTTCACAAGACGCCTATGCGCTCTCTGATTACATTATAATTACCCCACGTAGAAAGCAAATAATTTCCCACGCAAATTAAAAGTAGAATTCTCAAATTTTCACGTAGAAGGGAAAAGAAAGTTAAAAAACATTTACATTACAGTGGATTTGGGTTTCGTCGATTTTTAATAAAATCCAAACACACTTCCTCCTGTTAAAACATTTCCCGCATCGCGGTGTATCGATGGCCCGTGGTCGGCCACAGACGTTGTTCACTGGAGCTAGGAAGAGCCACGAAGCGTTGGCAGTGAGATCAGGCGAGTTGGACCACGGAAAAATCGCCGTGTGCGAATTGAAAAGGCAGTTCCGTGGAACGGTAGAGCTGGGGGCTGGTGGAGGTGGCACGAGAAGTCACATCCCCGTCGCTGAAAGCCGCCTTTTACGTAGCCGCCTATAAAGTTGTTCCGGTGGCCGCGCGGCCGCCTCAGATACACTCCACCCTTGAACGCATCGAGCAGCCTGCTTTCTCGCCATGAATTTGCTCGTAAGTAAAATCTCTCGCATGTTTCCTAATCGTCGCGATTCGCGTTGTTTCGCGTCGACAGATGAGCACAGTGGCCTCGTTTTAGTAACGAGGATTCGATCGTTTGGTGTCAATTGGGTAATTGGTGTTTTACTCGGAGGGAAAATTAGAGGGCACGTGTAAAGGGTGTTGGAGGTTCGGAGAAGTAAAATGTTGCGTAATGAAAGACTGTCGCGTGCGGGGATAATTACAATGTGACGTAGGTACCACTTTTGAGCGTGTATCCGTGATGTAAATTAGTGGACGAGTTTGCTCGTCAACTCGTCGCGGGTTAATTAGAGTATACATTACGTACGTAAGTGGAATTACGGTGATAGGGAACTCGTTACGTTGCCGTGACAAATGTTTCGAGAAGGAATTACGCTTGTTGAGATGGTAATTTTAGGTTCGTTTTAGGGAGAGATAATGGAGTATAAGTTGAATATGAAAAATGTTGTTTGGTGAATAAGTGTTTTCTTAATTCGGATTAGTTAAGTATTGGTATAGGTATCTATTTTAATTTCACGTATGTGTTAATATGGTAATTTTTTGTTCATTTTAAGAAGAGGGAAAATGGAGTACCTATAAGTTGAATATGAAAACTGTTGTTTTATCAAAATGTGTTTCGTTTTCTTAATTTTGATTTGTTACATGTGCTTATAGGTACTTCAATTTTCGAAATTTTGTAAAGTCAATCGTGGAATTATTTTAAGAGGGAATTACGTTTGTCAAGGTAATTTTGTGATCATTTTAAGAGGAGGGAGAATGGAATATAAGTTGAATAGGAAAACTGTTGTTTTATTAAAAAGTGTTTTTAAAATTTTTATTGGTTACATGTTACTATTGGTATTTTAATTTTACAAATATTTTAAGATTGATCTTGGAATCGTCTTAAGAGAGAATCACGTTTGCGTTATGTTAAGATCTTTATTATAAGATCATTAGATTATGATCATTTTATAAAAGCTGCACAGTTCTTTATCAAAAAGTGTGCTGTTTTCTTAAATTTGATCAGTTGTATGTCGTTATTGGTACTCTGATTTTAGAAACATTGTATTTAGAATAATTGATAAATTCGATGAGGTTAATGATGAACAGCAGGCGAAATTAAAAATCTGATCGTTTAAAATCGCGTTGAAATAATTTACGTAGTTGATTGTGTAAGGCATTCCCAATTTGTCACCAAAATTACGTTGTAATTTCACCGGCAAGAAACGGTTACACTAATTTATCTGTCCATAGTTAAGAAAGCATGGTTCGCTTTGAAATGTCACGCTTTCGCATTTTACGAGTAGAACAGAGGAAACGTGACCATAACATCATTCGTATTCTGTTCAACAGAGCCTGGTAATTGGTTAAGGATAAGAAAGAAAAATAAGACGATTATTTTAACGATTGTCGATTACATTATCGACGATTGTTGGTGTATTAAAAATAAATTTATAACAATGAGAGCATTTTTCTTTATAATTTGTATATCTAATTTTAACTGGAAAAAGGTGGCTTTGATATTTGTCAAGAATTGAGAATTAAAAAAGCGTATCGCAGCATATAATAATGAAACAAGAATGAAAGTAGAAAAGGATTGGATAGTATCGATAATTTCATGTAATTAAATTCTACCTCGGTGGACACTTTTATTGATAACTTGGAATTTTCCACGCCATTAACTTTACTGATTATAGAACAGAAGAACGTATAAGTACGAACTATTTTTTTTGACCAGGAATAGAATCTAATATATGATATATTTGTAAGAGTTTAATATTTCAGAATTATTATTAACGAAATAATTTTTTCAGCTGAAGTAATGTTTTGATTTTTTATTTTGATGGAAATTCTATCACGTTCAGAAAGTGAAAAATTAAACGAATTTCATAGAATGAATCATAGGCAATTATGGCGTTACTTCACTAACGAAGCCCGATCGGCAAATATTTGATACGTGACTCGATTCAGATAGTTTCACGAAGAAAGCCAAAAAGACATGCTATTTTGTTGAGATTTACAGCAGACTTCTTGCTTGCATTTCACAATCACTATGTACATGCAGGATGAAAGTTCCGTAAGAAGTAGTCATAGTTTCGTATCCTGTACTACAAAGCTACTTACAGTCGTAATCGTTTCGTTCTTTTTACTACAATTCTTTTCAGATACCTGGCAATTAAAATGAAAAATGGGACACGTACGTTTCAATCCTGTTAGTGAAAGTGCAAGGATTTTCTTTCACTTTTAGTGGAGAAATAAAGAAGTAAACAGTGCATTTTTCTTCTCGTTTAGTTGAAAATATCGAATCTTTATGAAAATACGAAAATAATTATAAACTGTGTGCGATTCTTTTTCATTACAAAATTTTAACATCTTGTGCAACACCTATCGAGCACGTTTCGAGAAAAATTCTATCAGAATAGAAAATTGTTTAATTCATAACTGAAGAATTGACTTGTTAACATAATTATTACTTACAGAAGAATTATAATAATATTATTCGTATAATAACAGAGCTGTCAATGCGACCTTAAACTAAAATTTTAACTCTTAATTCTGTATTTCAAAGGAAACGATGTAAGTGAAGGTTTAGTTATTTAAAAGATGGCCTAAGTTAGAATTTTAGGTATTTCAAAGAAAATCATATGAGTGAAGTTTTAGGTAGTAAAAAATGCCCTGAATTCAAATTACAGGTATTTCAAAGGAAATTATACGAGTGAAGTTTTGGGTAATAAAAAGTACCCTGAATTAAAATTTTAGGTACTTCGAAGAAAGCTACACGAATGAAATTTTAATTAATAAAGAGTGCCCTAAGCTAAAATTTTCGGTACTTCGAAGAAAACAATATGAGTGAATTTGCACAAAAGACTGTCGCCTTCGAAATATTAATATTCCGTTTCACAGGGAGACACTTCTAGACAAGTCGAGCTCGTAATACTCGGGCCCTTTTTTTCGCAAATAATCGAAGCAGGCGTGTCTTGTCTGTTAATTTATATTTCACTTTCTATCGGCGAGCGTGTAATTCTTGCAACGGTGTGCTCGATCGTAGCACACTGCGCTACCTTAGATCCCGGTTTCCAGCTAGGTTCAGTTCCTTTTTCTTACAGAGCGGCTGGAATGCTCCGAGGAAAGGTAATACCAACTCGTCGCCTTTTCCTGATTACGGAAACTGCTTTTGCTAATCGAAGACACGCAAACTTTCCCCTTTGGAAACCCGGATTTTCATTCTGGCCAGATTTCATTGAAATGATTATTATCGATAGGCTTCTTCTTCGTTTCATAATTGAAGCGCGAAAGGCAGAGGTTTGATCGAATCTGTTTGATACTTTGAAAGGGTTTGCAATGGATGTGTCTATGAATGCTGTGTTGGAATTCGTTTAAAGTGGAAATTGAACATGTTTTGAGAATATATCTAGAAATTTTTAAAGCTATTTTTATTCATTATTTTATTCATCATTCTAGGAATTATAGAAAGAAATAGGATTTTTACTTGAACTATATTTCAGACTTTAGTCGAATCTTTCTTTCTTACTGGAAACTTTAGTTGAGTTTTTCTATTTTGCTGAGGATTTTAGGTGAATTTTTCTATTTTACTGATTACAAAAATATTACATTGTCTAAATAATACTGTTGGAATTTTTTTTTTTAACGAAAATTCCGTATTCTTGCTCTAATTGAATTTAAGAGGAATGCATGGCTCCTGTACACAGTACTTTTTCAAATTAAATTGCTAAAGATATGGAACACATTCCTTCTATTCAAAACTGAAACTATTCTTTGCATAGTTTTATGTAATTTTGTTAATAATTTTATCGATTGAATCGATTTTCAAAAGCAGCAAATTCATTCAAAATTGAAAATTGTGCTAGTAAGAAAAATTATTAGATACAGAATTAATTTGCGATTTTTTAGAAGTGTTATTTAGATAGTACATTTAAGTAACAGAAAATCGAAAACGCAATCTTCTAATTATGGTATTGGTACAAGTCGATTTCTCCTCGAACATAATCGAATGATATAATGTACATGTATATCCATGTACAGAACATCATTATAGAGGATACTGAGACCAGATAAGTCTCTTGATAACAGGTATAGATTAATCTCCATTGGATTCGTTTAATTAGCTTAATTAGCACTAACGAAGGAATTAGCCTTATACAGTAAGTTGCTCGGAGCTACACTTCTGGCATCGTGTTTGTCCTTCTCCGGTAAATTAATTAAGTGAATTATGCTGTAAGGTGTGACATTTAATGAAAATTGAGTTGCTGAGTAATATATACTTGAAAGATACACTATCAGCCAAAAGTTTCGAACCATTTATTAATTTACATCAATATTAAATCTGTTATCAATTTCGTATCGATTTGCAATAAATTGTGCAGGTATCAATAGTAATTCACTTCGACTCGATAAATTTAGATAATAAAAAATTCATCAAGTGTTTCTTAAATTTCTAATATTTTTCTGAAAATTATTGTATAATTTAGAGCATAGTGATCTTAAACTTTTTTTATTTCATTCAAAAATTACGCAGTTGCGTTTCATTAATGCTTTTTTTTTATGTATTATTGCAATCATTTTGAAATAAAAATTTCCTGCTATAAAATATGTAACATTTGGTAAAAAAAAAAAAAGAAAAGAAGAATATATGGTACTTTTCTTATAATTAGAAGAAAAGGAACGTGCGTGTAGAAATATCGGTTTTCGTTGTGCTCCCGAGACGTGTTATTATTAACTTTGCTTGATCTAGAAGAATCTGGTCTTGAAGTTGCAACTTTCCCTCGCAGCTACGTTACGCCGCTCGCTAGGTGCAATTCCATGTAAATACAACACAGCTGTACATAAAAGACAAACCAGTGTATAATCGTAGTTGTCACATGATGGAGTTCCATCCTATTAGATAATACCGTGATTAGAAAAAGTATTATAGAAATGATGCATTCAGACCTTAAAATTCCAGTGGAAAGTTGTAATACTTTCACATTGATTCATTGTCTTCTTTGTTATGGCTGCCTTAGTCAGAGCATTTAGAGCAAGACACTTCAGTGTCAAGGATATTTATGCCAAGAAATTATGTTAATGGTGATGTTAGTTTTAAAAAGTTTGTGAATGTTTAATAATAAGATGAAAAGTTTGTGAATTTTTTTATTAGACAGGTGAAAAGTTTTGTGAATTAGTGAACAGCTATGGTCACTGAAAATTATTTTGAACTAATAAGTTAAATTAAAAGGGAAGAGGTCTATTTATTTATCATTGTGAAAAGTTGATAGTAGTATTTCTGTGGTTTTTAACAAAAGAAGAATTGAATCTTAATGTCACTTTAATAGATGAATTTACAACTTGGAATAGTTTAAACTTTATAATCAGAAAGTACATATTTGGTGTTTCACTTTGTGACATAATCTCTCGTTGATTTTTAAGGCACTTGAAAAGGATTTAATTGATGTACTGTTATACAAAACGTTGAATTAACACTTCCTGATAAAACCTTTTGCATAATTAATTAGGTACATACTAGTGTGTTACATGTTTCATTGATTATTGAAATAGAATGTAGTAATAGATTGTAAAGTTTGAATGTTTAAAACTTGTATTATTATTTGAATTAGTTACTGTAATAGCAGATTTTTAAAAAGCTTGTGTTACTTTGTTTATATTGTTATTTGATTTAGGTAATGTAGTAGCAGGTTTTTTAAATTATTTCATATTGAAATCAAATTAGAAGTGAAATTTCATACATATATTTTATTAAGTTCATTGACATAGTGTTACTATTTTGTACAGATTTTGCTTCTAATAGCACTTCCAGCGTGCTTGGCGCAGTTCACAATACAAGGAGCCTCTGACGGGCGTCAAACTGCCCAGGGTTTGAGAGTAACGGAAGGGAAAGGAATCGAGTACATAGATCAAAATGGTAAAAGATAGATAAGGCATACCGATACTGTTACCACGAGAGGAAATATCTTTCGGTATAATTTATCCTCCTATGTTTCTGGCTGGAACAAATTTACGATCAGATTTAGCGTTGCTTGTTAAACTTGTGTCGAATTCTTTCCGGTATTTGTACTTTCGAGATATCTAGCAAATTGAACTTCACCGTGTAACGAGTGAATTGTTTCGCAATGAAAATGTTGGTTTTATTTTTAATTAAATATACAAATGAATATGTATAACTATAACTTTCTTTCACTAGCAATTCTGAAAATGACGATTATGTTGAGATTACATTTTCTGAAAATTGGTTCATTTTAATGGTGGAAATAAAATAAGATAATGTTTTAGGAATGAGTAATAAGTGTCAAATTTACTGTATAAAAAATAATTTGTATTTAGTTGGAAATTGTTTTTATATTTTTGTAAGGTGTTATGATCAAGTGAAAGTTCTCTTCTTTATTGTACAGATGCAAATTATTATTTTTCATAAGCTACAGTTTATTCACTGTCAGAGACTTGTACAAAGAATTACTTTACACAAGTAAATACTTTTAGATAAATTGATAACTTATTAAATAAGTAGTACTTCAACTTTTCAGGTGTAAAAATTCTTTTTCCAAAATATTAGGTCGTGTAATATGGAATTTTTCAACATTTAAGAGATCAATTTGGGAGCAATTAAATATCCGAAATTTCATATTACCACGTAAATTCCACAAAAGAGAGAATTAGAGACTTACACTTACTGTATTTAATATTTCGTTAGCCATTTACCTCAAATAATTTAATATACGTATTTATACGCATAAAACGAGCAGTAATTTGTACAGCAGGAAAATGAAAGAATTTCTTCGAAGTTTAGTACGAATTTTCTATTTTGTAGCACCAAAGGAAAGTGGGTTCACTATCCAAGGTGCCACAGATGGTCACTCTCAAATTCAAGGTGCTACGGATAGCAATAGCAATTTTCACATACAAGGTGCTACGGATGGCCATAGCAATTTTCAAATACAAGGTGCCTCAGACTCTGGCGTGGAAAGTTACAACGGACAGTTCCAACAACCTTCTTCAGGATCGTATAATATTCCAAGAGAATCGGATGGACATAGCCAATCGATCATTCAAGGGTCCTACGATCCTTCCGTGAAATCTCTTCAATACAATGATCCTAGTGGTAAATAATATGTAACACAATGTGACTATAATTATTGGACGCAAAAAACATCACTAACAAGACTAATCCAAAGCGGTTGTTGGGTAATTGTTGACTTAAAATGTTCCTTGAGAATGATTGTTATAATTTAATAAGAAGAACACACGCACGCTTTTTACATCGCATCACTATCAAGACCCATCGATCGTCCTATGATCTATTAGGGCGTATCTCCAACAGAAAATAAATTTGAAATTTTATTCGAAAGGATTAAGAGTGAATTGGAGATCGTACGATCGTCAACCACGTCCAGAAACGCACCAAGAAGTGCAGCAGTATTCGGAAGTCCCGGTTGCAAGCGCGCCAAGAGCACCACCATCACGTCAAAGAGCTCACGTGCTACAACGTCAACCACAACCACAACCACAGCCTGATCAATTTGGATACGGAATACAACAGAAGAAGCATTTTGATGTCGCACCTGTACATATTAAACAGCTCCTTCAGTATCAAGCGCAACTTCCATATTTCAACATCATACCTGAGCAATACAGGTAACGAAAGTTCTTTTCAATTTAAAAATCACGCATCACCACAACTTTTCTGAATAAAGAAGATGCCTCATCCTATGAATTATGCTCAAGTGTATTAACAGTAGAACGCAAGAAATATTCCATCTATAGACAACAATTTCACGTAAAACCTCGCATAAAGGACAATTTAAAGGAGATTTTTAATAGAATTTCTTTAGTTAAATAATGTGGGAAGATATTCAGCATTTATTTTGAAAAAGTATGTTTGATTTATTTAACGAAGAGAGAAGAAATTTGTGACTTACGGGAGGCCACAAATGTTTTTCTTCGTAGATACGACTCTTCGTTGCAATCACAAGGACCACGTGAAGAGCAACAGCAACAGGAACCTCAGTATCGACCTGAACCACAAAATCATCCACCTCCAGAACCACGACACCCAGCTTATCGCGGAAAATCACGAGGTCCTCCTAGACAGAGACGACAGGCACCGCAACACGGACGAGAACAACAACAACAACCATACGCGAGAATTTCGCAACCACCGCCTGAACCTCCGATTAAATACTCCCCGAATGTGCCCGCTCATCTTCAGCAATACTTGAAATTCCAGGCTCAAACTCCTTATATCAACGTGATTCCTGAACAGTACAGGTAGGGATACTTAATTGCTACAACCTGATTTAAACATTAAATAAAAAATACAATATTTTCATAAAAGATTTATGGTTTAATTGAAAATTTAAAGCCTTATAATTTATTACAGAATTTTTAATATTTTAAAACTGTTAAATATCATATCTATAATTTTTGAAATTATTGTAATCTGTTAAAAAATTACTGTCGATTACAATTTTCCATTTTGATGGTAGAAGCAAGCAATTAGCTGGTAATAACGTAATGGAATGAGACTTGTAGAATATAGATTTAGATAAATCGATAAGTAACTTAAAAATCACACGACGTTATGCAGAGTTAAATTCGTAAAGTAGATTTGGATACGTTAGTAAGGTTCGTTTGGAGTACGAGGTGTAAATAAAATGTTGAGATCATTGTAATTTACTTTTTCGATCGAAAAGGAATCGTTCACAAGGATTTTCCTCCACCTAATGGTACTGTAAATCGACGATTTTACCTGAAATTACTTTCTTCGTGGAATCAGCTATTTTAGGAAAAAGTGTTCTTAAATTCAAAATTGGTGACAATGTTAGAGCACCCTTTGTATTCACCTGATTTGTCTACTTGTGACTTTCTTTTATTTCTTCGAAATTTTCAGTCACTTTTCGAAATTCAAAGTAACGTAACGCGGGTATTAAAACAGATACCAAAAAATGAGTACGAAAAATATTACTATCCTGAAACTAATGTCAGTCTTTGAAAGCGATAACGTCATATCAGTTGAGCTTTAAAAATAAAATATTAAACTAAATTATTCTCCAAATTTTATTGTCACTCCTCGAATAATACAACACGTAATTCATAATCTCACAAAATGTTGACTATAATTCAATTGCAAAGTCGTTTAATTTAAAACTGCACGAATCTAGTGCAACGATTTAATCTTCCTACCAAAGTTGGATAACTCAAGTCGAATAAAAGTCTCATCTCGACGCAACCACTGTATTAACTATTGAATTATATGGTAGCAAAATACCGTACAAACTTTCAGATTCGACCCAGAACCGTCCGCGCGATTGCAATTGGAAGAGTTCAACAAGCAGTACGAAAATTTGTTGAGACAGCAGCCAACATCTCCAGTCGTAAAGGAGCAACCTGTGCCAGCAGCTCCAATCCCAGTACAAGTTCGATCTCAAGGTCCACCGAGACCAGAGCATTCCAGACAAAGAAGACAAACGCATTATCAACAGCAACAATTGCCAGCTGAGCCGGTGCCGCAGTATTCCAACAACCTTCCTCCTCAGCTCCAGAACTTACTGAAATTCCAATCTCAAATTCCTTACAGCATCGTCGCTAATCAGATCAATTATCGCCCTGAAAAACCGTACGTTCCTCAGCCTGCTCAACCTTCCGCTCCTACCCAGCAATCTCAGTTGTATCAAGCAAGTCAAGCTGTAGATGCATACAAAAATCAACCGTCTGCGTACCAAGATCAACCGTCTGCGTACCAAGATCAACCGTCTGCGTACCAAGAACAACCATCCGGATACAACCAAGTGTACGCTTCGCAGCCTCAGTATCCGCAATACTCTCAGGCTCAGCTTGGATATCAACAGCCTAACAACGGTGTTCGTCCTGTTACCGAGAATCAATACTGAAGACGATCGTTGATGAATCAGTTAATTGTTCGTATCCTTTTCATTTGATTTGCTGCTACTTGGTTTTGTTCACGATCGATGTTTTCGCTGGTCGCTAGATAAGGAAATTATTGTCGCACTGTCGCACAATAAATTGAGGTGAATTTTAGGTGAGAATTTGGGAGAGGAGGAAGATTTTGGTATGTGAGAATTGTGGTTGCAGGAGTTGTTTGTTAAATGTTACTTTGTTGGATAGGAATTTTAGTGTTTGAGTGGAAATTAGAAGCTTTTGCTTGAAATTTGCTGGATCGCGTTGTATGAGAAATTGAAGGTAAGGCTGTTTTAGGCTTGTTAATTTTAGGAAATGGTGTTAACCTTGTGACAATATTTTTATTAACGTGCGACTCGTTTCACGCGACACAGAATTGCGGAGAAATGGAGATTTTCGCTGCAAGTGTTTCCAAATACTGCCTAAAGTATTCAAGAATTCTTATGCGTTTCATTTCTTAACTTAAGTTACTCACGGAATACTCGAATAATTTTAGTTTCAAACGCATGTGTTTGGACAGTACTAAAAATAGTAAACTGTTAATATTATTTTATAATATTTTGTCAAATTGTTCGTCAATAACAGCAGCGAAAACTATAATTCCGTTGATGAAAGAAATTTCATGCTTACTTTCAACAAAAATATTAAAATGAACATTTATTTCAAGGAATAATATTGTTTCCATTTTATTACGTATGTAGCTGTGACCGTTGAAAAAAAGTATAATTTCGTTTATCAAAATTGTTGTATTATTAAGGAAACTCTCTGAAGATAGTATTTTTATTAATTTCACATAGATTCTTATTCCTTCTCTATAAAAAGTTATATTCTTTATAAGCTTGTTACATTTTATATCAAAAAGTAGGAAGAGTAGAAAATAATTATTCATCAAGCTGAAAGCACTACACATTATTCTTACAATTACGATTACTGTTACTTTAATACACTCGTAATATTTCATATGTCTACGTTTTATTTAACTACATGTTTGTTAGGTACACATTATACTACATCAGATGAACGTAAATTTTTCCTTCGCTTAAAGATGACAGAGTTCTAAGTGAAAAGATATATGCTTTACACTTTAAGGTGCAATAAAGGAAACGAGCCACTTTAACGGAAGCCATTTGATGTTCCGTCAATTTCCACGTAAGGAGGTCTAAATAGATAGAACGTAAATGACTTTCGGTGAAAAACGAACGAACGAAAACAGCGCCATTTTATTGATGTCATTGCAGGATTTATCGCGCTGTTCTTGAGCGGTATATACTAAATGCGCGAGCTTTTCGAACAAGAATAACTATCGAGTATAAGTGTGGGCGTTATGTAATAAGCTTGTCTGTTTTTATAGTTTTTATACTTCCACGTTTTCCAATAAAACATTTTTCACCTAAATGTATTTTGATTGATCATTCTATCTACTGTCTAGGACACCCGTTGTGATCGTACAGAAAGTATTGTGCGATTTAAATGACATTTCTTTGTCAAAGTTAGGCTCATATATATTTCAATATTTCTATACTTTAATATTTCCACTTTTAATATCTCTATATTTTAATATTTCCTCTTTTAATATTTCTATATATCAATATTTCCTTTATTAATATTTGTATATTTTAATAGTTCCTCTTCTAATATTTCTATATTTCAATATTTCCTTTATTAATATTTCTATACTTTAATATTTCCAAATACTGCTAGAATTTTATAATTTTAGCATACCACAGTTCCAACGAACATACGATATCTGTTGCACTTATTCAGAAAATGGTAATTTACGAAACTTAGAGAAGGAAGTGCAACGAGGAAAAGTAAAATTTAATTATTCCTTTTTCTTTTAAACTTATGAATGAAGTTATGAATGAAACATGAATTATTGGTAGCATTGAGGTAAAGTAAAAATCATTTTCTTTCGATCCTAATAATTTTGTTCACATTCAATAAGTATCCTAATTCCGACGAACAGAAATGTATACGTATAAATGAAAAATCATGGGTCTGAAGTGGATCAAGTTTATTGACACAATCGTTTAAATTAAATTATGAATAAATAGGAAATAACTCAAGTAGCGATGATAATACCTAATGAATATACTTTATAAAAATACATAATAAACTTTACAGACACAATCTAACACAACGACGATCACATTTAATGCAATCATCGATGCACCACGTGGGCAGAGTTTATTAAAAAATTGCACTTGGACACGCTAAATTGCACGAAGTTTCACGTATCTGATTCCATACATGGTCCACTTTCACTCGTTACTTTTCCCCCGGTCTGACTGACGGTCTGATAGCTTAGAAACTCGTCTTAATCACATTTAACGTTCAATCGAATTGAAGCGGAACGAGTATCGCAAAGAATAGTAGAACCTACTCTCGTCATTGTTGAATCTTTAACGATGTTTAACTAATGAATGAAACGGCGATATTTCACAGCGTGCGTTAGATTGTAGAAGTGGAACAGTGAACGTGGAACTATGCATTGAGGTCAATCGTTGTTTAGAGCCGACTGTTCATGCATCGATTAAACCGCGCTTTTTTACAGAATATTAAGTGTCTCCGCGAAAACGGCGCACATTTGTGCGAGGTATTATTGCGGTCGACTTAGGAATACGGAAGTGACCGATGAATATGCTTCCTGCAACTGGCGGTTGTACCGTTACGTGACTAGAAATACGTGTTTTTACTACGTACAACTATTGACCTGTGATTTATACATATTTACGCTACTATCAATTTTCGAGCCGTTAAACTATTTAGATTTTATACAGCTGTCTGTTTTGTGGAAATTTTTTTCTACGTTCTGCTTTCGGTTTAATTCGAATTTGTGTATTTGGTAAAACTTCTTTTTGAGGTTGTTTTAGGTTGGAATATATTTAGGATAACTTCAGAAAAATTGCCTCATTTTTAATAAAGTGGATGTTGAAAGTATTATTGGTACTATTTATTGCATAAATTCTGGGGGGGAAAAAAGAGATTATTGTCACCTATTGTCTACCATTAATTCATATTCCATTCATAATTTCATTCGTAAGTTCCAGAAAAGCTAATAATTAAATTTTCCTCTGTTTCGTTACACATGTTTCTCTAATTTTCTTAAATTCACATTTTCTGAAGAAGTGTATCGGATGTATTTTCTTTGCAACCGTGGTATGTTCAAAGTAGACAACTTATACAATATTAACCTAACCTAACTCATTTAAAATTTGATGCCGACTCGGAAGAAATAGCCAATCCTTTAATAATTGCTAAAAGTTAGAATAAAAACTGAAGTGGTAACACCTGTATCGACTTAATTTTAGATTAATAAACCAGAAGAAAGGTAATAAAAATGACGCGTTTCCTCTGCGTTAATGGTACGAAAACTGGTTCGAAAATTGAACGTTGAAAGATACACTCACAGCCCTGTAACATTTTCATTTTCCACTTTCCTCTACGAGGTGTTACAAAACGTGGCTGGTACAATCTAATAATGATACATGCAAGTTGAAGAATTCGATTAGGTGTAGCCGAGAAAACCGGTTTCGATGAAGTAACAATCGTTAACCTCGCACGATCGATTGTTCATCTAGACGATCATCAACATTCTGACCCTTAGAATCCAACGATCCTGCATTTTCCATTAAACAAACAGGTTCTGGTGTCATCTGTGCTTCCTAGAATTGAACTAATTATCTAAGTAAATTCCAAGGTGCGCCAGCGTCAAGGGAAAAGCCAATCGAACGACTTTCACGCAACTCGAAATTAACCTCTGATATAATACGCAGGCGGGAAAAGTGGTTCTGGTTTTCACATAGCGTAACGAAGTTTTTACAGGGAAAGTTCGTTTAAGGGACATGGATTTGTCTTTTCACTGGCGTAACAGAATTTGAAACGATTGAAGTGAGGAAGGAAACTTCGTTCATGCGAATGAACTTATGCGAACGATGGCAAAGGAAGGATTAGATATTCGATAGAAAGTTAAATTTGGAAAGAATTTTACGTGAAATATAAAAATGTGTTTATACTTTCAAAAAGTATTGCATTAAATAAACGCGAAAAATGTAGCACGATGAAGACACATTTTTGAAGCTTGAAGACTTGACTCATAGCGTTTTCTATTTTTTTTTTACTTTTTAATAATTGTGCCATTTTTATAATTTTGCTGCTACTTAGATGCTCCGATTTTTTAGTTCTAGTATTAAATAAACGTGAAAAAAATTGCACGATGAAGATGCATTTTCGGAGCTTGGTGACTTAATTTTGCACGATTTATTCACAGCGTGCACTCTACTTTGCTACTTTTTAACAACTGTGCCATTTTTATAACGTTCCATTTAATGAATCTCATTTATTCACGAAGACAAGATGTTTGCATCGATAATGCAAATTGTCACGGTACATTGTACAAAAGTTTTTACGGTATGTTGTGCGTAGTGACGTGGAATAACAAAACCGTAACCGCACGATTACTTGTACAAGTAAAATTCTAATAACATTTGAAGTTAAATGAGTTCTAAATTTTAGTAGCAGCAACTTTCTCGCAAACTTTAGACTTTCACGAGGACATGTCAGGTAGATATTGCTGTTTAAAAATAAAATAATTAGAAATTTAATTGTACGTGTGACATGTTAGCTGATAGTGAAATCTTAAAAATACAGTGTAGGATATATTTTTAATATTAGACTGCTTTCAAGATGTATCTCGAATATATCAATGAGATATATTAATGTAATTTTTTATTATTTATTTGAGATACAATTCTGCATTGATGATTTGTATTAAATTGGCAATCGCTGTTAAAGTGTCATCGTTAAATTTATGCTTAAAAAGTAGGTAGGTACAGCTTCTTCAAGAGATACATTTTTGCAATACATTTTAGCACACAATGAACAATTACAGAGGATGAATTGCTACGTAGCTTCCCATTGAGAAGTAGTTAAACCACACTATCGTACTAATTAGCGAGAAAGTGTGATACACATGTCTTCATAAAAAAATAAATCACACTGTTCACATACAATTTGCCAGTAAGATAGAAGTTTTAATGGAAAATCTCGGTCAAATTTCAATATACAGTTAATTAATGAGAAATAATTGAATTATCATGACACGATATTTGAACTATACTTTTTTCACATCCACTAATATGGAAAACATAAATTTTAAATATGAATAAGTAAATAATATCTATTATTTGTTATTCATTTTTTTCGTATCAGCATATTTATTTAAATATAAAAAAGTCAGTGATACGTATTTACCATTTTCTAAAAAATCTATCGTTCGACTGTAGTCGCAATATAAAATACAATTTTCAAAATAAAAGACAACATCCTCATTTGTTTCAATAATTTTTCATAAAATTTTTCATGACTTTTGTCCTTCTCGTAAATAATTACTTTTCGATCGCACAATTTTTACCAATTGCAATCAAATATTCAGTGAAACCAACTGGAAAATAATCAGCCGATCATCCTCATTTGTTTCGATAATACTTGATAAATTTTCAATAGCTTTTGCCATTCTCGTGAACAATTACTTTTCGATCACCAATATTCTATCATTTTTAATCAAATACTCAATAACATCTGACCAACTGAAAAATAATCAGTTTGAGTTGACAAGGCTCGATCATTAAGTAAAGCACAGTTTCGAATCGAATTGTCACAGTCCCAGGTTTTCTGGTGCAGCTAGCTGGATCACTTGCTGCTGGACAGAAATGTTGCATGCCATGCATACGGGGCGCGTTTGTTACATGACGAACTGGCGGGGGACCTGCAGGATGGAGAAAAAAATTGAATCGAAACCGACCAACCGTGAAAGTTAGTGGTTGGCCGGACCATTTACCCTGGAAACGCTCGCCCATATAGAAGTGCGTCGCGACGCGGCCGCCAGTTTCGTTCAGCTACCATCCTGAAACCGCCTACACCTTCGCAATGAAGTTCCTCGTGAGTACAAGTCCACTTCGTGTCTTTTCTTTTTCGCTTTGAACTACCCTCTTTGTTGTTCAGAAAAATTGTCACTCTTTTTAATTTCAAATGCCACTTTAAGTGTCATTGATAAATTGATAAAGATAAATTTTCTTTTCCACTGTGACCTACTCTTTTTGGGTCATTCAGAAAAATTGTCACTTTACAAATTTTACATGTCACTTTAAGTTTCGTTCAGTTGATGGAAATAAATTAGAAATGTTTGATTAGTTTTATGGCTTTTTTAAATTCTATGTTACATAGAAGATAAATTACACGAAGGGTTTATTTGGATAGTAGATGTGCATTTTAGCTATTTTGTAGCTGAACGTGAAGATCGTGTCTTTTTCAGTGAAATGAGAGATTAGGTGATTTATCTGATTTTGTAATATTTTAGAGCTGTAGTGAATTTTCACTTGTAATTAATTGGAATCAGCTTATGCAAGGTAGATGATCTTAATTGTGCTGTTATGGTTTGCTTGTAATAGACATCAGGTAACTAATAAATGTGTTTTCTATTTATGAGAATTTCATTTGTTTTGTGAATGAAATGAAACTTAATATATGGGATTTATAAATCGGTGGTATATTCGCTTTATTCTTTTATTTTGCGAAATAATAGCGAATTTTAATTGGATAATTATTAACGAAGTTATTTAACTTGATCTCAGTAAACATCAGATTGATGATTGATTTATGAGATACCTTTTATTTTATAAATTAGGTATCTACATCGATGCTCACTTTTTAACTTCAATATACATACAATCGTGGTCTCCATGATTTTATTAAACCTTTTACTTTAATATATTTTATTAAGCAGCTATTACATTCCTTAATCAATACAATATGCTAAAATTATTACAGAACCTAACTTTTCAGTATTTATTTTACACATTCATTTCTAATTTTGAAATTCAAATATAAAAATTCCATCTTAATGTTATAACTACCTTTTTAAATTAAATAATTTTTATGATTTTAGGCATTTTCGGCATATCTCCGAATCAAATAATTTTTATTAAATTACAATTATATCAGTTCTTATAGAAAACATTTTACAACGAAAAATATATTCATTTCCTTACACAGTTTCAAAACTTATGTCATAAAAAAGGACCAAAGTGGTTCGGCTAACATTAACATTGAAGTGTACGTAAATTCATACCTCATTAGCCACAAACATTGCAAATTATTTAACAGAGTCTGACCTATATTATTTCCCGTATAGTTTGTCTTGTTATCGTAAACATCATACCAAACTACTGCATCGTTCGAAAGGTGTGTATCTAAGTAGGTATCAAACGCTTTCATCCTTTCCCTTCGTGAGAACGAGCTTCGGTCGTACAGTTTCGAACATGTATGTCCGCTATGTGCAATGGTGTGCATCGTGAGAGATCGGTAAAGAACATTATCTAGCTTTCTCAATCGTGAAGTGATTTTTTCCATTTTACCGTTATCCGTGATTTTCACACGTACGAACGTTTTTACGACATTTATAAGAAGTTATTTAGGCTAGGATGTTCTTTTCCTGTTGGTGCAGTCGTGTTATGGTGTACGAAGTAGGTCGAGTTAGAGAGTCAGCTTTTATTTCTCGTGCTTTATAGGTGTCGATTTTTATGCTCCTTCGTTATTAATTTAATAGCAGATTAGAAAGTGTGGTATCAATTAGAAATTGTAAGGTGTATCGTGGTTTGAAAATAGAACAATACTAAAGGATGTAAATATGTTACTTAATTTTTATTTTTATTTTACAATTTTACAATTTGTTCAGCTGGACATTTGGTAATTTCTTACAATGTAGATTCTTATAATAATCTTACGATAGTTCTCTGTTATTTTTATTATATGGTCAGGTCAATGGGACGCTTCCTTTTTAGTCATCTTTTTGTTTAAGTTAGCAGGTTTGGGAGTGTTGCAATTTTTTCTATATATTTATTTCATACTCGTTTATTTCTTCCATATTATGTTATATAATAAGTATTAAATTTATATACGTTGTTTGTTATATAATGGTCACAGGTCCTTTTCCTGAAAATAATAGTACGCAAGCTGAGTATTGTGAAATTGTGACGTACAATTAGTGGTTCCCTTAATTATAGCTGTCAGTTAGTAGCATTTAATTCAATACATTTCCTTCGATGTAAATAAATTAAACAACTATTAGAAAGTATTAATAAGTGTTATAAATTGTAGGTTTTAGCGTTAGCCGTGGTGCATATTTATGCCATAGGCGAAGTGATCGGCGACCTTATGGGACAAGAATTTCAATACGCAAACATTGGTAAATTATAAGTTTTGACTAAATTTACATATTCACATTAAATATGTCTGTGTGAAATTTATTTTTCGATTAATTAGCAAAGTATATCGCATGCTTGAATAAATTTCATTTACAAAATGGAATTTTACAATTAATTACTGAAATAAAATGGAACCAAATAGCTATATAATTGCAAATAAATGTAATAAATTCTGCATACGAATGTAAACTAAAGCAACTCTCCTTTAAAAATTAAATTCGTCCATTTTACGTCTGAATTCGTCTATTATAAGTGAAATTTACATTTTCAAAACATTACGTGTAATTATTCCAAGAAGCAAAGAAAGTATTTGTAAAACACAAATAATATTAAAAAAATTAAATGTTTAAATTCATCCTTTGCTCAAAAATTCTCCTTGCTGAAATTCACCCTAAAACTCTTCGCTGTGGTAGCATCAAAACTTGAAAAAATTCCAGACCACGTTCGCGAGAGAAGGCAGGCTCCCAATTACAAGCCGCTAAATCAAGCACCGCCTCAGCTGCAGGAGCTTTTGCAAGCGCAAAACTACCGTCCTCCCCAGGTGCCAATTCCACCGCAGCCAGTCTTGAATCTAGGATCGTCTCAGCATAACCCACCTCAGCAACTGTCGCAAGGACAGGTCTCGCAGTATCAACCGCGAGTGACAATCTCGTCGTCTGTCCAACAACCGGACTACAGGTCGATCACTGCAAACAGTGGCCAATATAAGAAACCGATCCTTCCTCAGCAGCCACAGTATCGTCCTGTTCCTCAGGCAGCTCAGCCAAATTATAGCAACAACCAGCAGCTGCCACAGTACTCGTCGAAACTGCCGCCTCATCTTCAGCAATTGCTGCAGTACCAAAGCAGCCTGGCTAACGCGATTCCTCGCAGTTGAAGTTGAAAGAAAGAAAAATGGGAGAGTAAGATCTGTCTGATGAGATTCTCAGAATATTAATCTTTTTTCTTACTTTTTGGTGTATTATAATTTAACTGATTTTTTAATTTTAGGTAGAGAGAGGTTTTGTGAATTGTGTTTCGATGAATCTCATCAGACGATTGCAAAAGTAAAAAATTAAGGTTGATTTTAACAGATGTTCTGAGATCTTTGGATATTAATAATCTTGCGTGGTAATTTATGAAGTTCGTAGATTTTTAAGTATTTTACTATACCTATTGATATTTGTAAGATAAGGAAATTTTTAGGGGGATTGTATTTAATTTAGGTTTTAATTAAGATAAGATGGAAGTATGTTAAATTAAACATGCTTTCATTTTATGTGTTTTCCTTTCGTAATAAAGAAATGCATTCGATTCGTATGTTTGGTTAATTGCATGGTTCCTAAATTTAACAGAAGAAACTCTGTCGTTACTTCTGTACTATTTAGATATTTCCATACTATTTTACTCATGAACGAATAGAAAAAAGAAAGAAACTATAGTTTCCAGCTAACTAACGATTAAAATAAAACAAAACATCGTACTATGAAGTTATCCTTGAAAACCATAGTAACAATTATTCCTAAGTGACAATTTTCAAGTAATTTTAGCAAATTTTAATACATGGAATTTTTTTTATACATATTTGAAATACCAGCAAAAACATTTAATTTCAAAATAATAATTTGCACCCCTCAAATTTGAAACGAACAGAACGTCATACTCCTTCAACAGACAAAAGTGAACGTTGATAAAATCAGAAATAAATCCATTCGAATAAATATTCACAACGATCATCCTCGCTGGTTAACCGTGCAGCAATTTATCTTGAGCGAAAGAACTGGATTTAACGAAGCGGACCGAAGGGGTTCAAGGTGGTACGGCATTACGTCAAATTACGTCGTTAGACGCGCCGTTTCGCATTAAGCGTACTCAATTCGTCACTCGAGAAATCAAGGTATCATCGCACCGATGAATCCGCACAAGGGGCGGGTTTCCAGGCGTTCCGAGACGCGGCAGGGTAGACTGCATCCCCGTTGCCGTCACCCTTCGTACGCGCGACAACCCACACGTTGCAGTCTCCGGCATAGAACAGCCCTAAACTGCGCCTGTACCGCAGTCACACCACCCCGCCCCGATTTTTACCTCTGTGCATGCCTTGAATACATCCCCCCGGATGGACTCACCGACAAACAGGGAAGAGGATTAGCGAGTCCATTAAAGTCGCGGACTCTATTATTCAGAGGGCACGGCCACGGTGACATCAACCGCTTGTCAGTGGCGTAGGAACGGAACCTCTCGATTCCTCGGATTTATTTCCCTTGCTCTCCTTCTTCAAGTTTACACGTGTCTTCTTTACTTTTTCTTTTCTTCTCGTGTGGTTTGTATTGCCCATGGATAACTATTGTGTAGTTAATTAAAAATATAATTTTGCTTTAGTGGGAGTTTTTTTTTATCGGTGTTCTGTGGCTTGTTTTTGAAATAGTAAAATTAATATATGCTTTTGTTTAATATTAGATATTAAATATTATTCTTAGCATTGAGAATTAAGCTTCCATTCACTACTTATTTCTCCATTAATAGTTTAAAGAAATGATTGAAATCCTAAAGGGGTAAATAACATCTACAAAACCAATCTGTCTTTCTATTCATTTTATGTTTATAAAATAGTGTTCTGTGATTAAATAATCTGAAGTTTTGTTCCAAAAAATATGACGATTAAACCGAAACAAAGAAATTCACATAGAACACCTCAGCAAATTTTTTTTCCTTTTAATATAATTTAATATCTTGTTTATTAGCGACCGTAACTGACTGTTACTCTATATTCCATAAACTCGATTGCTTTCTCCAGGTTTTCTCCTATTTCAATATTGTTAATTATTTGGAGTTGGTCTCTGGTGTCTTCTGTCCTCTTGCACTTTAATAGAATATATTTAATAATTAAATTTTGTCTAGCGTTCACAACGTAATTATTTAAAGCAAAATTGTCCAACTACGTTAACGAGCAAAACACAATTCCCACATACATATACGTTCTCAAAAAATAATCTCGCTGTATGAAAGTCAGCTCACCAGAACGTGCATCAATTATTCAATATTCTCCTACGAGGTAATTACATCGAGATAGAAATCAAAAGTTTAATCGTGGCATTCGATCAGGGGCCTCGGGCTACTCACGTAGCCTGAGCAGTGAGTTTCTCGTTTCGCCGTGAAACGATTCTCTCTCTTTTTTTTTTCTTTTTTCAAAAAGAAGCCAACTTCGAATCGACGCCATTGGCAGGGCGGCGGGGCGAGGGGTCACGGAGGTAAATTACAAAGGGAGGATTACCGGCAGCTGGGCTACCAAGCAACCATTTCTCTCTTTTGGCTCTTACTCGCGAGCCATCCACGTCGCTCGAGAGCCCTTTGTCCTTCGACGCATTGGTAACATAATTATCGGAGTTATAGCAAGCCAAAACCCAAGCCGCATCTGAAGGGGTCGCATGTGACACCCGGTTATACGAGCTGATACCGCATGTACTAGCCACACATGCACTCGGGACCTATCGACGATTAAATTCGCAACACATCCGGAATGTCTTAACTCGGAATTCGTAATCAGAACGAAACAGACGTAACGCTTTATGTAAGAGAGTAGTCTGGTTGCTATCAAATGTCACTTAACGTGGACTTGCGGTACAAGAATTGATAAAAATGTTTTACTGTTTTTCTTCGTTTTTACTCGTGATGGCAGTGAGTGAAAAATTGTACAAGCTGTGATATACAGGGTGATTTTGTTATAAGTATCTGGGCCTGGTTATAGCTGCGTTTTAGGTGAAGTTAGAAAATGATCGTAGAGGAAAATTTTGCACTGTTTCGAGTCAAGTTTCTAGCAACTTGTAATGTGATTTTGTTTTCGTAAGCGCATGGGTGTATTTGCAAAGTGCAATTTTTTTAAACATGGAATTGCATTTCTTTTTGTTTAGGTAGATCAACTCTTCGGAATATTCTGCGTATAAAAGCTTCAGTCACGGTGTTAGAAACATCAGTACTTTATGAGAAATACAAAATTCCACAAAATTGCGCTTTTTTAAAAATGGAAATTCATTTGTTCTTCTTATTCATGAAGATTAACTGTTCAGAATATTCCGTTTATAAAAGTTTAGCTTACAATATTAGAAACATCTCCAAAAACTGCCTAGAACAAACATCTACTTTACTTAAAAAACTCGAAATTGTAAAACAACAAGTAGCTTCACAGAACTCGACTATAAAGCGCAGTGAACATTATACAACACCTAGAGTGTGTTGTTAATCACAAGCGAAAACACCTTGCATTAACGCCATCGAAAGATTCCGTCCTTTTCGCAAGCCTGTATAGGCGTACCGCCTTAAATTTTCACGGCGAAACTTGTGCAAACGGTGAACGACTCGACCCGTGCGATTTGCAAAACAGAAATTTCAGGCGAACCAATTAATTCACAAGCCTTCGTCGAGTGGCTGCTGGCTCGTGAAATCTCGCGTGGAAAGCGAGCAGTTTCTCGTACTTTGTTCGCCTAATTACCAAGTCGATACCACGTTCGAAACAGAGTTTGCATACCGGTGTGTCGTAACTGTGCGATTTGCCGCAATCACGGTGTCACGTTTTTGCAACGTTCAAACGCGAGGACACACGCAGCGGCGAAACAGGGGTCGACCGTTCATTGTTCAGACCACGAATGCAGGTCTGATGAAATGTGAAAGGATCGGCTGTACAAGCGCAAATCGGCGAATTGCCCGGCTGATAAGGAATTATGGCCGGTAATAATGGCTAAAAATAATCGAGCGCGAGCGTGTTCGAGATATTTTCTACCGAGGTACGCGCGGAGCCGTGAAAGCTGTAAATCAGGATCAAATGTAGAGTGTGGTATAAGTTTCGTTAGCTCGAAACGCTAAATACTTGCTCGTTTGAAGGGAAAAAGTGAGTGTGTTTGTGGTGACAGGACAGGATTCTTGTTGTAAAATTAGGTATTTTATTTATTTCCTTTCTTCTGTGTCTGGTCATCTACTTTTTCCATTCTTTTTGACATTTACTTACTGTATGGTATTTATTTGGTATTCTGGTGTTTATTTAATTATTTGTTGAATTATCTTCCATGAATTATGTTAGGTAACAATTAAATGTGATTCTAAGGTGGCCCAAGATTGATATCGTGATTAAGATAAATAGATAAACAGGATGAACCCCGTAAAACAGGTTACCCAATTATCTTCTCTATTTAGCTATTAATTTATATGGTATATTATTACACTTAATTTAAATGGCTTCAAAGGGGGATTAAAATGGAAGAAATGGCAAAAAATGAAAGGAAGTTTCGTATTTGATTTTAAATTTCAGAGTCAAAATTATGGATGTTTAAATGCACACCAATGTCTGCTACAACATGAGATAAAAAATGTTTAACACAGTACCAGGGAAGCGACGTGGGTTTTAAAAAAACAGGATAGGCGCCAGTGGTAAACACGATGTTGTGAGTCATGAATAAAAATGAAGGTGACTATGGAGAAAGGGAAGTGGAAGGAGGTTGAACCTTTGGAGAACTCCTCACCGCGTTGAAACGTGCGATAATGTGATAATAAATTGTGGTAGATTGAGCGCCATATGCTCGGTGGTTAGCGATTCAGTGTTTACGTAAGTTCTAAATTATTCGTGAATTGCATGTCTGTTTTTTTGCGTGAAACGTTTAGCGACGCGAATTTCGATAAGGAAACCTCAATGAAGTCTCTAATGCGTATTTGATGTCGTGAGTTATTCAAATTCTTGGTAGTTTGAATTTGAAAAGTGTTGAAAACTATTTATAAGTGTTTGTACAATCTTTGAAAATATATATAATATTTCTATTTATATCCTTTTGACTTGCATCTGATTTTCAAGTAAAACGTCTTCGTCGTTTTAATTCCATTGAGGTATAAAATGCAAAAATAAGTTATTTTTTG